CAGTTTGGACTAAGTGTAGACCCCTGGTTGTTCCAAAGTATCATGGAATGGACACTTTAAAACATACATACCTGGTGTCTTCCTGTACTTTGAGGATCACAAAAGAATCAGAGGCAGTCCTGGCAGAACACTTCTGGGCAGTACTTCAACATTTCTGTGAGGCAGGCTTAAAACTAAAAGAAGACAAGTGCCAAATTGGTGTGGAATCCACAGAGTTCCTGGGATTCTGAATAGATGCTACTGGAATCCACCATCAGAGGCCAAGTTAAAGGCAATTCAACAAGCCCCCAGACCCAAATCCAAGGGGGGACTGCAATCATTCCTAGGCTTGCTGAATTTCTACCACTCGTTCTTGCCACACAAGGCTGCCCTGGCAGAATCACTTCACCATCTACTGGACAAAAAAGTGCCCTGGGTCTGGTCGAGCACCCACGATAGGCCATTCAAGACAGTCAAGTTGCTGCTTTCCTCAAGCTCTGTTTAGTTCGTCTTAATGAAAAACTGCCAGTAATGCTAGCCTGTAATGCTTCACCATATGGCATTGGGACAGTGCTAAGACATAAAATGCCAGATGGTCATGAGGCCCCCATTACATATTACTCAAGAACTTTATCATCTACTGAGAGGAACTATGCACAAATTGATAAAGAAGCCCTCGCCATTGTTGCAGGTATTAAGAAGTTCCACAACTTCTTATATGGGTGACCCTTCACTGTCTTCACAGACCACAAGCCATTGCTTGGCCTTTTTATGGCTCACAAGCAGACTCCGCAGATCCTGTCACCATGGATGCTGCAATGGTCAATTTTCATGGCTGCCTACTCATACAAGTTAGTCCACAAGCCAGAGAACGAAATGGGCCATGCCAACAATTCAGCTGATTGCCTCTGCCACAGATGGATCCAGCCCCAGCCCCTTCAGCTCACATCCTGGCAATCCAGGACCTACCAGAAACACCCCTAAATGCAGGGGATGTGGCCGCTGAAACTGCCATGGACAGAACGCTCAGCTGCATTCTCAACTGGGTGTTGAGGGGATAGCCAAAGAACCGACGAGATCCTGAGTTCCACCCACCTTGCCTGGAGCCACTGGCTGGTTGTTTGCCTCTAGCCGGAAGCAAAAATCCATGCCATGCTGAAACCGGCCATTTGCCGTGATGTGCGAGGCAGGAAACAGCTGGTTTTGGTGTGGCATGGTTCTTTGCCTCCAGCCGGAGGCAAACAGCCAGCGAATGGCCAGTTTCAGCATGGCGCGGATCTTTGCCTCTGGCTGGAGGCAAAGAGCCATGCTACACTGAAACCAGCCGTTTCCCACTTCCTGCCCAGTACCACTGCCATGAGGCTGCGGAACAAACTGGGTGGAGGTAAGGAAACGGGTCGGGGCTCTGCAAGGGTTGGGTCGGGGTGCCGGGAGAATGGCCAGGAGCCAGCCAGCCAGCCAGCGAGAGCATGGTTGGGTGGGGGGAATCGAGATCTGGCCCTTTTACCTCATCCAGGGGCTGGGGAGAAGTTGCCTGCTCAGCCATGTGCACAGCAGAGGTGGTGGAGGTAGCCGCGGCCTGGGCAGGCTCTGATTAAGCCAGGCAGGGCTGAGCAGGAGTGAGTGAATGACAGCAGAGTTCAGTGGGGGATCAGGTCCTGGCCCCTTTTATCTCATCCAGGGGCTGGGGAGAAGTTGCCTGTTCAGCCACATGTGTGGCGGAGGCGACCCGGGCAGGCTCTGATTCAGCAGAAATGAGCACCAAGTAGGGACAAGCGCTTCCCCGCCTGCATCCGGGATGCTGTCTCACAGCTGAAGGACTACGATTGGAGCCTGGTGCCCATGCCAATGCAGGGCCATGGGGTGCTGAAGGCCAAGCTGCATGTCAAGGTCAAGCGGCCCATGAACACCTTTCAGATCTGGGTGCAGCTAGCATGCAGGAAGCTGGCTGATCAGTACCCGCACCTGCACAATGCCAAGCTCAGCAAGATGCTGGGCAAGTTTTGGCGGTAAGTGGGCCAGCTTGAAAACCGATTTGACTTTCATCAATTTTTGCTGCAGGCAATTTTTGTCCTGTTGGGTGTCAGTTTGATGAAGGAGAGGAGCTGCGCATTGGAAGGGCTGAAAAATTAGGAACTCCCTAATTTTAAGTGGACACCCATGTTCAGGAGGGATCAGACTGGAACAGGGTGATGTAGTCCCAAACATACATGTGTGCAAAACCTGCCTCTCATGGAGATGTTTCCAAACATTGGCTTACAACAGGGCTCTTCAAACTTGGCCCTTTTATGACTTGTGGACTTCAACTCCCAGAATTCCTCAGCCAACATGCTCCCTTCCTTTGAAACAAATAACCTCCCCCCAGTCCTCCCAGCCCTGCCTTCTGAATTAAAATGAGAGAAAGCCAAGTTTTTTTTCTTTTGTGGTCTTTACATATTTAAACTGCAGCTAGAAGGATGTGGGGAAGAAAACCATCACGAGACACTCTTCTGTTTTAACTTTTTTTCCTTGTCACTTTTTGGGATTTTTCATCCTGCTTTTGTGAGAGGGCAGTGTTTGGGAGGGGGTGTCGCTGCCCCCTTTCCCTCCAAGCCATCAGCTGAGCAAGATTCCTGCCTGCCCCCATTCTTCCCTCTGTCCGAGGCTTTCGGTATGGAGAGCATTTCTGTGGAGGATTGGCTGGGAGAGCTGTTTGGTTTTTATTCCCCTCCCATCTGCTGGGTGGTTGCAACAGGTTTTGGTCTCTTCTGTGGTGCTTTGAGGTTACCCTCAAGGTACGTTTATTTTTTTGCTAAGCTTGCTTAAACCCTCTTCCACCTCCTCCTCATTGGAGCCCCCCCTTTGTCTGCAACCAGCCCCTACCCTGGCCCCTGCCTCGCCTTGTCTTGCCCCACAGCAATGGCACCCCTGCCCTGCCCCCTCCCTCACCTCGCCTGACTCTGCAGGATGAGCCTCCTGCCCACCATCCCACCAACCAGAGACCCCCTAGATCTCCCCCAACCCTGCCTGGTCCCCACAGGCATCCCTTCCCAGGAGCAGCATCAAGGTGGCCATGTCCACCCTGGCCATGCCCACCCACACTGCCATGACTATCATAGCCATGTCCACTCAGCACCCATGCCCACCTGGTACCGGCCATGCATAAGTGGGTTTGGGATTGTAGTTTGGGCACTCGGTCTCTAAAAGGTTCAGCACCACTGCTCTAAGTGCTCCAGGCTCAGATGGAGAACAGAAGAAATAGCATCCTCTGTAGAGCGATTTGATCAGTAAGCAAACTGAAGTGGGTCAAATGCTGGCAGGAGGCTAGATATAATAATGTCCTTTTAAGAGAGCATCTTAGGTGCCTTTGAAGCCACTAAAGATTTGAGGCCATACTGAGCTGTTAAAGCGTGGTTTAGTTTAAAATATTGCCTCTGGTGTGAACTGGGAAGACTAAATTAAATTTCAAGTCAGGAGAAATCCTTAAAATTGTCATTCCACAATAGTTTTAAATCTCAATTATTTTTAAAAGCAGAATGTTTTCATAATCTTGTACTTCTCTTATAAAATAAGGTAGAGAGTAGAGTACTGCTCAAAATTGTTAAAATATCATTGCATATATCAGTGGTTCTCAACTGTGGGTCGGAACCCCATTTGGGTCAAACGACCATTTCATGGGGGTCGCCAAACAACGCAGTCCGCCATTTTTTTCCTCTTTTCCTTAGCTGTGCTACTCCCTTTTATTCTATTGGCTTTTCAAAGCCAGTAGAATAAACTCTCTTGAATAGAGTCTAATTCTATTGGCTTTCAAAAGCCAATAGGAATTGTCCAGGCTGTCTCTGCCCTGCTGAGTCCGCCAAAAGTCCCATTCTACAAACGGTGCTGCACCAGTTGAGTAGTCCTTGACTTACGACCGGTTGAGTAGTCCTTGACTTACGACCAGTTGGGGGTCGCGGCATTAAAAAGTTTGAGAACCACTGGCATATATAAACAATTTATACCCATGCCACGCAGAAATAAGACATTATAGGTCTAGTTACTGCTTTACAGTGCTGGCCAAAAGTTCAAGGATCAAATTAAACCCTGGCCAGTGTCATATTGTAACTCAAAAGAAACTACTGGAGTTGAAATATTAAATCTCAATCCCCTAACCTAACTCTTGGGGATAGTGACAGCTAATCATCACTTACTTTAAAAATTTAATCTGAACAAAATCAGATATTATTCATGAGTCTCAGACTGCATTAAATTCTTGGCCATCTCCCACAGACTGATTAATAAAAGTAAATTGTCTGCCGTCTTTCTGAAACTTATAGAAAAGGGGGAAACACTTATTATTTTTCAGTTCATATTTAAACCCTGTTTTCTTCTGTGATTATTTCATAAACTGAGCTCTGTTGATATTATTGCTTCAAACAATATACCAGAAACTTATTGGCTTTCTCTATGGACACCCAATACATTTAATAGCTTTCTCTCAGCACATATTTAATAAGGATCCTATTGTCGGTCAAACCTGTCCTGATGTTGACTGCTCAAATTGATTTCATATGCTGTTACAATGTCCTTTTTACAACATTGTCTGCAGAAGAGTCATCTTTTGTCTCTGCTCCTATTAATTAATGCTAATTGCTTCAGGTCAGCCTGAGGAACTTTAGACTGATTTTGTTCCATCAGATAAGCAAGATTCTCTTCCATAATTGGCCAGATATTGTATAACAGTGATAAATGTGCTAAAAAAAACCTTTTAAAATACAAATAATTAGTAACTATCAATGATAGTTACCAATTATTTGTATTTTAAATGTTTTTTCAGTGATCTGTGATTAATAGTTGAGATATTCAATAAATAAACAAGGGGAAAGAATGAGACTATGTGAATTTATAGTATAGAGTGGAGAATGTCTTCCACACTGAAAGGTAAATAAAGCTATATGTGCATATGGGTACAAATGGACACACAAAAACACACAGAAAGAGTCATGCAGTCACAAGAATATGATGCTCCAAGCCCCTATTAAAAAAACAAATCACACAACAACTACAATGCTCATTTAACTGTATTTCAAGAAAAATTGCCAAGTTTTACTTCAATGCATTTTCAGAGTCTGATAGATAGCAATTTGGATTTATATAAAGAAAGATAAAGTGATTACACACATTGATGTCAGGTCATTAGCCAGTTATTGAAGTTATCCAGGGCAATAGATGGAGATGGCATTATTTTCTTCATGATCTATTGAAATGAGATAAAATAATAGGTTAATAAAAGTGGATTAAATGTTTCCTTTGTCCCCTGAACTCCAAAACATTCTCTCCTCATCATGTTAATGCCTTGCAATGCTTTGTGAATGCAAACAATTATCCCAATCTAAATTTGTGGCATCTCTACTAGAGAAGGGTTTTCTTACTGTTGTTTACAGCAAACCGCATTGGAACAATACCATTGGCCAATGTAGTAGAAGCCAACAGGACAGGGAGGAGGAAAGCATTGTCCTCCTCGTTGGTTACAAATTTGATCGTCCTGGGCACTCGCTGTGAAAAGGAAAAGAGAAGACAGATAAATATTGAGTAAAGATGCTTTGATATTTACATACATTTCTCTTTCTAAGATACCATCATTGCTGCAGAATTCCTGTGCTTTCAGGCAGTTTCATCTGACCAGTTTCATCTGCTGCTCCCCTGCAATAGCCCAAATAAATCACAAATCAAGCCAAGTCTAAACCCTGGCCCAGAGCAGAATTGGCTAGGATGTGTGTATCTATTGAGGCAATTGAGAGGAAACAATCTTCTTAATCACAAAGGAGACCTTGCTTTCATCTCTCTCTCTTCCCACTATTACAATGAATTCTTGCTTGCTAGGAAGTAATCTTGAGTTACAATGACTAGTAGGTATTTTGGATGGAGAAAATTTGGGTAAAAATGGATAATTTTCTTTGAACTTCAGGGCCTGATTTTCCTCTAGATTTTCCTTTCTTTGCTTAATGTAGAAAACACTTCCATTGCTTCTCTTTTCTGCTCTTAAAAGACTGCACATACAGTATGTGAGCTAATTATGACTTGCACGAGCAACCTCCAGGATATCCCAGTTGTCAAAAAGAGAAAATGGGGAGGACACACCACTTTTGGATGCTCTGACAGAGAAGTACATCGGGTGGGTCACTTAATCCCCAAGAGTCCAGCTTTTGTTAAGGGAGTATGTATACTTTGCTTCCTCTATTAAGAAAATAATGACATGTGCTTGGGAAAAAAGAGAATTTCTCTGCTTCTAGGTATTTTGTTAAAAGTCCAACTAAGTATGAGTAGATTCACTTGATTATTATTATAGGCTTTTATTTAAATAGAACATAAATAGAATAGTGAATTAATAAATTGGTTTTCCAATCCCTTCTTGATGTGCTTATATAATATTGGATCTCTAGTTTTAATTGTGAAGAAAAAACAATGACATTTTTAAGATGCTTGGAAGTTTAGATTCTCAATATTCTATCCCTCATAACTATTTCTGTAAAATAAAAAAGGTTCTAATGATTGAGATATTTTTAGCCAAAAGATGAAAATTTAATTTAAATTCCTTAAACTTGTACAAATTCTGGCCCTGGATTGAATGATAGACCAAGAAATATGTAGTAGATTACCCTGACTTCAAAGATGATCATACTTGTTTAGAACAGAGTTATCAGCCCTTTCTAAATAATCAGTAAGTTAGTTTTTTACCTGATTCAAGAAGCGATGCAAGGAAAAGGCATGCGAAGAGCACATAAAAGATCTTCATGTTGGAATTGCTACTGGACTAAATCTAACTCCTGGGACAGGACACAACTCTCTATTTATTTATACAGCTATAATGATTGCATCACATTGCCTCAGTGAAATTTTGCAACTATTCTTAAGAATTATGTTTACTGTTCTTACATAAGGTATTGTTGTATCTCCTTCTTTAGAAATACTCCTGTGGTTTTGCTTTAATATATAATTGAATGGTTAATCATTTATGGTTTCCAAAGATCTCAGCCTCAGTTGTCCAGGAGGGCAGACAAAAGTTCTTTCTAATTTGCTGCTGAACCTCTAACATAGCTATATTCAACAGTGGTGGGAGTTTTGGAAGTGCCATGGTACAATTTAGAAGCATAGGAGAGAAATTCTGGACTTTCCATCTCTTGAGGCCCTAAATATTAAAATGTGTTCATTTCCCCTTTGCTGTTCCTGGGAATGCATGAATGTCTTTGTTTTGGTCATCTCATTCTGCCTGATCCTCTGTTAAATATTAGATTGATTGATTTACCATAATACATAAAATTTGTTCTTTGTAAATGAAAACATTGTGAACTTTGGAATATAGAGGATAATCTGCTTAATTGAGCAAGGGTCAAATGGGTTACAGCAAAAATCTGAAATAAATGAAATAAAATGAAGAAGCAACATTAAAATAAAGAGCTATTATAACCAAGCCGAGCAACAGTGTTTTAACAACAGCTTTGAAATCCAATATCTCTCATAGCCAATATATATTAAGATTGATTGTAAAAGGCAGGTTTAAATTATTTTCTGAAATAATGAATAAAATTGTAAGGAACTGAAATTCAGGATGAATGCTGTGGAGATGAGAAGACATGTCCCTATCACTCCTAAATATGAGACATCCTTCCTCATCTCTTGATAGAGCAAAGGGCACTGGGAAAAGACCATCCCATAGATCAGCAGTTCTCAATCTGTGAGTCACGACCCCTTTGGGGATCAAATGACCCTTTCACAGAGGTTGCCTAAGACCATCGGAAAACACATATTTCCGATGGTCTTAGGAAACGAGACATCGCTCCTCTATCCGTCTCCAGGTGGATAAAAACAACACAGAGAATGATAAGACTTAAGCATCAAAGGAGCAACTCCCAGCCTCTCAGGTAGAGCTAGCAAGAGCCAACGACTCAGCCCACCTTCTCCCAGCCTTTTCACCAATCAGAAGCTGCGGCCCAGACATTGGCATCCGTGACGTTTCTTCCCGGGGAATCTGCGAAGCCCGTGGAGCTGCTCCAGATCGTGCTTGCGTGCAGTCGCTCGCGCCTCAGTGGAAGAGGGGAGATGGGCTGGTGGGGAGCTGAGGGGGGTGAGGCAGGAGGAGGAGGAGGAGGAAGGAAGGGAGGGAAGGGTTGTTAGCTGTGGAATCAGCATGCCAGAGGGCTTTGCTGTGAGGGTGCATTCCTTTTGTATTTTGATTCCCTCCTTTTTGGAGGGAGGAATGGACATTTTATGATCTGGGAAAAAAAAATCTGGTGTCTGTGAATAAAAGCACAAGCGATCATCTTTTCTTTCCGCCAGCTCACCTTGATGCATTTATTGCAATTGCTTTTTTAAATAGCGCTTTTGGATTGTATTTTTTTTTAATCTTAGCTTTTTAAAAAAACAACTGGACAGTGCATTCCTAGAGCAAGGCACAGACTTGGTACCTCTCTCTCTCTTTCCCCTGCACCCCCCCATCCCCGGGTATTTTTATTTTTGGTTGGCAAAATCAGATCCGCAGCTGCTAAAAATGAATAGTGGCTTGCGAGGGAGGGGGGCTGCTGTGGGCAGCAGAAGACATGCTGGTACATCCGAGGTGTTGTTCACTTGCTCGCCTCCTTTCTGTTAACCCTCCCCTCTAGATCAGAGTTGCTGCTTTGCATGGGCATGAGCCAGGATGGCCATTCATGGGGTTGGTCTCTACCCTTGTGTGTGTGTGTGTGGGGGGGGGGTTTGCAAGCACCTTAATTGAGTCTCCTCACCCTCATTCATGGGATTTTCCTCAGGGTTGCTAGGAGCTGGGCTTAAACTCGGAATCACCTGGTTGCAAGCAAAGAGAAGGGAGTTGGCGCAGGTGAGAAAGCCAGCAAGCCAGTCTGCCAGCCTGAATTACAAGCTTCCCTTCGCCTTTTTCATCGTGAATTGGAGCAAACCAACCTCAGGATTTTCCTTCCTCCCACCTTTAAACGGCTTTCTTTTATTCTGCCTCTCACCTGGTCGGGATCCAAAGGCGAGGCTCCGATTGGGGAAGTGTATATTCCACTGCCAGAAATTGTTAGGAAAAAGGAAATGCATTGAGAGAGGGACTTGTCAGAAAACATTTAGCTGAGAATCAAGTATGCTCAGTGGAAGGTGAAAATGTTGGAAGGAGACAATGAAATAGCTGGAATCTGGGACAGCTGTAAAGTCGTATCTTCTGTTTTGGGAAACTTCCATGAAGTTTGGAAGCATCACTGCTTCAGACAGGAAGGCGGTACAGAGAGTGGTGAGAATGGCCAAAAAGATCATCCAGGAATAGCACAAAAGCATTGCTTGAGCAGGGTTCATAAGTTTATCTGGGACACTACACATCCTCTTCACGATCTGTTTTCCTTGTTACCTTCTGGGAGGAGGCTTCATGGTATCTGTAGCAGAACATCCAGATTCAGCCGTCATTTCATTCCATACAGAATTAACCTTGTGAACTCTCAAGCTTCCTCCTTCCATTATATATTCAAGATGGACAGTATTTAATATTTATTTGTTATGTATATGTAGGAGTGTGGGTCTATACATATGTTGTATATAGTATGTTTAGGTGTGTGTCATATATGTGTTCACTTTGAGAGTGGGCAACTAAATTTCATTTTTGATGTGTGCCATTGTGCCCACAGTAAAAATGACAATAAAGGTTATCTTATCTTATCTTATCTTATCTTATCTTATCTTATCTTATCTTATCTTATCTTATCTTATCTTATCTTACCTTACCTTACCTTGTCTTGTCTTGTCTTGTCTTGTCTTGTCTTGTCTCGTCTTGTCTCGTCTCGTCTCGTCTCATCTCATCTTATCTGAAAGGGCCCTGGCTTCTGAGGGTATTTGTGTGAAATCTGCCTATCAGGCGATCTGCCTTCATATTTTGGACTTTGATCCATCTTGTCTCAGAACTTGGGAACCCTTTCCATTGCAATAGATATTGCAATTTTCCTTTGTAGAGCCTGAAATCTAAGATTCATTTGACCTCGTAATGTCTCTCACCCCCTACTAGGATTAGACTCGGGGCTTCTTTTCCTACTGGCCTCAAGTTAGAGACCTAGGCTGGCTTCAACAAGCTACAATGAAATACTGGATGCACTTGGGCAACTTTAATTCTACCGTAACTGTATTAATCATTTTCACAATGCAGAATGGCCCCACATATTTAGGACCCAGTTTTATATTAGATAATATCAACTTTAAATATTTTGAGCACAGATACACTTTGTCCCCTATGTGGAAATCCTTTTGGGGAGTTCATCTTTTGTCAGCCTGCTTTTTCTGACTCTATGCTGCTTTTGCTAGGGCATTTTTCACATTGCTCCATGCATTTTGGAGGGAGTCTACCCACTCCGTCAGGGATATTGATGAGGGGGTCTCTCTTAGGTACTCTAGCATAGGCACAAACTCCATCCCTGTGGCTATTTTAAATGGAGTGAGTCCAGTGCTTCTATGTACCTTGTTGTTGCAAGTGACCTCAGCAAATGGCAGAAGTTCCGCCCAGTTCAATTGCTGATAGTTGATATATAAGTACTGTTCCACCATTGCATTTGTCCATTCCATGGGTCCATTCATACTCAGATAGAATGCCAAACTAAGCCCCTGGAAGGACCCTATTAATTTTATGAATTCTTGCTAGAATTTAGCCATGAATTGAACCCTTTGTCTGAGATGATTCATTTCGGCACTCCATCCAGCTGGTAGATATGCTGCAGGAATATCTTGGCAAGCTTCTGGACTGATGGGAGGCTTGAGCAGGCCACAAAGTGGGCTTGCTTAGAGAATAGATGAATAACAGTCTATATGTCCATGTTCCCCCCCCACTTGCTAGGAGTTCTACTATAAGTCCATGGCTATTTCCTCCCATGGCCAGGTCAGTTCAGCCACCTGTTTAGAAATCCTGGGGTTTTCCCTGGTCTCCACTTCATGGAAGCGCACATAGTGCAGCTTTTTACATAGCTCTCTATGTTCTTTTTCATGCTTGCCACCAGAATTATCATTTAGTCAAGTGCAGGGCTTTTAGGAACATGAAGTGGCTGGCTTGCTTAGTGTTGTGGCTGCATTGCAAGACCTGTAGCTGTAATTTCTCAAGAACATACAATTTGTCCCATTTCCAAGCTAAGTCTCCCCTTAGGGTTAGTTCTCTTCGATAGTCCCTCATCTGTTTGTAAACCATACATCTGTTTGTAATTCTTTTTTCATCTGTTGGATTAAAGCCTCACTTGGATTGGGGGTTTTCTTCCTTGTTGCCTAATGGTCACTTGTACGGCCAACTGGTTTGTGGGGATGATAAAATTAACCACTTCTTTTTGGGCACTTTTGTTTTGAGGCATGCGGGAAAACACATCAATTAAAAAATCCCCCCCCGATACGTACTTCAAAGTGAATTCAAACCAGTGAAATACTGACCCCAGTGCACCTGCTTGTGGGAAAGTTTGTGGGGGGTTCTTAATGCCCCTAAATTTTTGTGGTCAGTCCACACTTCAAAATGGATTTTACTGCCTTCTAAGAATTGTCTCCATGTTAGCAATGCCCACCATACTGTGAAGGCTTCTTTCTCTCACACTGCCCATTGCCTCTCAATTTTGCTCAGTTTTGGAAGGTGTAAGTGCACAGCTACAGTTTTCCTTTTGTTTTTCTGAAGGAGCACTGCCCCCACTGCCACATCACTGGCATCTGCCTGAATCACGAACAGCTCTGGAGTGCTTTAAGATCAGCTTACAGTCTCTTAAGTTTTTCAAATGCCACCTGGCATTCCATTGTCCAATTCAGCAGCTGGCTGGGCTAGGGCTTCCCTCCCCCTCCCCCTCCCTCTGTCTTTAGCAACTCTGTGATTGGAAAAGCAATCTTTACAAAGGAGGGA